GAAAGCTGAAGCCAGACTGTATCAGAAGAGAAACAAGGAGCATAGGCAGATGAAGCCAGAATGCAGACAGGGTAGGTATGGCTGACCTTAGTAGGGTCACTCTCCCTCTTCCCCACTTTCCTTGTCTTGTGAAAAGGGCACAGTCTCAACTCAAGACATTACAGTGGAGCAGCAAGACACTCAAAGGGGCAGAGAAAGCCATAAGTTATTTTCTCCACATTGCTAGACTGAAACATCTGGAAGAGAGAGGGAGAAGCCATGATGCTCCACAGCTCTGAAGGAGAAACCAAAGCAGGAGGAAAGTCTTGAAGACAGAGGTTTATAAAGGCAGAAGATCCACTAATCCTTTAAACCTCCCACCCCTCCAGTTAATTCATACCACATGAATGGCTTTTCAGTAGTAGTAGTGATTAACCATTCGTATGACTTATTTAAAATAAGAAGAAAAGATATTATCTGCCTTCTTGTATCTGGAAATGGATGCCTTATTTCATAAAAGATGTCACAGTGCTCAGCTGAAGAAGTTGTAAGTAAATGTCTTGCCAGTACAAGAGGTCAGACCAAATGATCTAATAATCCTTTGTAGCATAAAAATCTGTGCAGCTTCAATTTGATCAGAAACAGTTTGTTTTACGCTAAGATGGATCCATCTAAATAAAAATTACCAGAAAAGTTGGGGAATGCAGGAGGAAAACAAAAAAAAAATCTCATCTCAAACTACTTTCCAAATGATAACCCTCCACCTTTACTGGACCATTTAAACATTTGTTGCTTTTTGTTCTTAAAATAATTATATTACTTCCACTAAAATTATATAATCAGGATATGATATTTACAATGGGCCTTCTTACTTCTTGTTGTTGTTTTTCTCCTTCCATTAATTAGAACAAATTTTGGGTAGGTACCATCCTTCCTTTACAGTTAAGAGCAAATTTTGCACACTGTGCTTACTACCAGAAATAATAATTTGTGGTCATACATTATATCCATATTAATTTTGCTTTTGTTTTCATGTACATTTAGATTTGCACTGAAATAGGATAAATTTTTGCAACAGCATGAGTGGAGACCTCCTGTGGTTGGTGATGACTGATGAATGACAACTGTAATCGCAGATCAGTCATAAAGCTTGTTAGAAAATAAGACTAATAGATAGAAGCCTCTCACTGGCTGACAAGCATAACACCACATTTATTACTAGAAACTATATGAATTTTTTAACCTTGTGATATTATGAAATATGTTCATTAGCTCATCCTGTTTTATCATAAGAACAGTCCTTAGACATTTACATACAGACAAAAAAAATTGGAAGGTGATTACATTTCATTATTAACATGACAACCCAATTTTCTAATTAGTCTCTTAAATACAGCTGCCCCTTCTTTAACCAGAGCTGCCGATAAACCAAACAAATGACTCTTTCACACATGTTTCAACACGCAAATTCACTTCAAATAGACATCCAGCTAGGGTAAATCACGTCTTGTTCAATGCAATCACACTTTATTCTCAACCAATCCACATATATTCACATGAAAATGGTCATTTGGGAAAGTTGTTTATCTACCTAATATCTTATATAGAAGGTCTTATAATCTGAATGCCTTTCTGGTTTAGGTAAAAAATCGTTTTTAGTAGAGAAGTAGTTTAATAGGCCACCAAAGGATATAATGGGAAGAAGCAACGAAATCAATGGAAATGAGTAAAGAAAATGCTAAGAAATGTTCTTCATGCATACTCACATAAACCACTACTGTATATATGCTGGAATAGTTTTGATAGTCCACAATTCTTAATATTTTGACTATAAAAACACTGCTATTGCCTGCTATAGCATAAGCAGCACAACTTTCTTGTATGAATGTTTGACAGAAATTAAAATGAATGAAATGTTACAAACAAAATATTAGCTCTTTATTAAACCTCAGGCAGAACTCAGAATGACCTTAAACCATAAAGAAAATAAAGTAAAAAGTCTCTGAGTCTCTTTTATTGAATTCTGTATAAACCAAATAGCATATCTGGTGAAACATAAATTAGACTTTTAAGTTTAATTTATCTAAGACACAGTTAATAAAATAGACTTATTTATACATTTAACTTTTAACCTGAAACTGTTTTGTTTGTTTGTTTGTTTCTTTTAACTTAAGCTAGATGTATCAGAAATAGGTAACATCAATAATACAATTAATTTGCTTGTTACAGAAGGTAATGATTTGATCAGTGAGGGTGAATAACAACAAATGAAGTTATCAGCTGAAAACAGTAAACAGAGCTACTACCTCTATGGCAAAAGTAAAGACAGCTTGTCATGACCACATGTATTACTAAGTAAATTCTTATTCGTTTCCATATCCTTTGTCTCCATACAAAAATTCTCCATACAAATTCAAAATTTGAAATATTTTCTGAGTATTATACTAGCAAACCAGCCTGGATACAGGCTATTTTGAGAACTCCAATAAATTCTCTATAGAAGAATGAAAAAAGATATGATGGTAGAGATCAAATGAGGATCACAAGTGAAACAAGCTCTACCTACCTAAGGTGCAATCCAAATAAAATATTACATTGCTCTATTTTGCATAGTTTAATTATGCCCTCTAGTAAAATTAAAACAGACTTGGTACTTTAAAATTACAGTTTAAGCTGAACCTTTTGTGTTTCAATTGACTCTTGAATATTTCAGCTGAACCATACACACCAAGAGCCTAAAATTATAAAATCTAAAATCACATTGTGTCCCACTTCCTTAGCAAGAAATATACTTCTAATATATTCTAATGTCTCACACTTACAGAGCTATACTATATAAAATAAATAGCACCTTAAAAAACAGAGGAAACTATTTTAGTGTTAAAAGTGCAATTTAATAATTGTAATTTAATTAACAGTATTTTTTTCTATTCTTAAAGGCAAGTTGATACAGCAGCATGGAAGTTACTTGGAGCAACTAGAACAGGCTGTTTTATTGACACATGAAAGATGTGAAAGCAAAAGAAAGATGTTGCTAAAGGTACGAACCTTACATTTTGTTAAATTTTGGCAAATTTTACTTCTAATTTTGGGAAAAAATCAAAACAGTTTTTAATTTGCAAAACATAGCATGGAGTTTTGATATCATTCAAATAATTCCAGGATATTCAACTTCAAAGTCTACTACTCCACATTTGTGTTTACTGGATGTATTTAAGCCCCACTTGATTTCACATTCAGTTAAGCATTTCTACTGACTGAATTCTGTTGTCAGTGAATAAAACAAAACTTGTAGCATAATACACAAAACACAAAAATGTTTTTGTTCTTATTTGATTAAGGAGAAAACTGGCATGATCTCTAAAAGAGGCAATATTTGTATTCAACCATAGAACAATTTAAAACAACTAAGAAAACATAGGAGTATCATTGCCATTTAAGTATTTAAAGAAACATCACTTTTCAAATTTCATTCCATCTAGAAGACCTATTCCTTACTTATGCCTATAAAAAACTTTGTTTTGCCTGTGCTTGGCAATCATGAAGTCAGGTGAAAAATTCCATGAAATAACTTCTAAATAAGTAAAATGCAAGAGAACTTTAAAGGAAAAAAGAAAACAGTCAAATTAAAGTCTTGATTTTAATTAAACAAATCTGAAAGAGGAATGCTGCTTTTTCAGAACCTTTGTTTTTCTATTAAAGTCACATAAAATACAGGCAAATGTTAATACATATTCTTTTCTATTTTGTAGCTCAAATATAAAATTCTCTGTTGCTAGCTGAAAGCTCCCACTATATTACCATTATTTATACTATTCATGAATTATGACTCTTTACAATTTTTATTCTCAGAAAATACTACTACACAGTTTTTGAACAAAATACTAATTTTTTACATTGTACAAAAGATTTATATTTATCCATACCAACTACCTTAAGAATCAAAATGAAGAGATTTTATCAGATCATCTAAATTATCCAATGCTATCATAAACATTCCTCATACTTCCAAACAGAAGAATATTAGATTTGTACTCATTACATTGGTTCCTAAAAATAAAGTCCCCTAATTTCATGGCCCTTTTGAGTACTGATGAATCTGTATTATTAACGATGCTTTATCTCCTTTATTATATTTTTCAACTCTTCCTACTCTATGTTTCACAATTCTCTTCCCCATTACTTCCAAATCTCTACATCCAGACCAGAATACCCAAGCTATTCAAGCTATGCAGCAAAGCTAGACTAGGTATAAACCCATTGTCCTAACTGAAATAAGGGCTGATTGAGTAAGCTCTTAAGGGAAAGTTCTGTGTTTAAGTGTCCACAATATTATTTATCACAGTTGTAACAGAATGCATCTCCACACAGTACTGTAAGACACTTCCACAATGAGCTTTTAATCTGGAATAGACTTTGGAGACATACCACAGGTTAAGAACAAAGTTTTAAAAGGTAGCACCTCAGTATTCTGAACAATTGGAAATATTTTGAAACAAGCTAACAAAACTACGCTAATATCCAGCAAACAAACTGAACAAATGCAGGGAAGTTACAGATAACTATCCGTAACTTAGTTTACTTAACATTTACATCTAACATTGTTATACTCAACAACACTATGTTTTTCTTAGGTTTTCAGAAAAAATACAGAGTGTTAAAGGAAACTGTTTTAGTTCCCAACCTAACAAATATTCAGCTCAAACAAACTATTATGTGAGCATTCCCAAAGCATTCACTGATATTACTTGAATGCAAAAATTTAACCTATGAAATGTAAATATTTGCAAGCTGTCACAGGAAAGGTCTGCCTTCATGTTTAAGGTTTTACAGTATTCTTACTCCTGTGTCTTTCTTATATATATCTTTATTACTTATTTTACAAAAAGTACTATGTAATACTTACTCTGCCAACATAATATTGCTATACATTCTGTCACAAAAAACATGTCAGTCTGCAAGAACATCTGAGTGACTAAGAAACTAGTCTCAAAGATTTTGCATCAGTCTGAAATACTTACTGTTGCTGGGGAAGCCCGCGTTGTATGAGTCACTGAATGACCAGAATTTTCCATTGAATTGCCAATCAGATAGGTCCCTCCTGAGCTGCTAATGAGTTGTCCTCCTGTGACACCCATCTGAATCCCTCCAGTGCCCACCATGCTATGAGATGAGACCACTGTTGTCACCTGTGCAGAACTTCCTTGAGTATCAAAATAATTTCCCCCAGTGTTTTGGCTGTACATCTGGGTTTCTGTGTAAGGATAAGTTGTTGATCGGCTTCAAGAAAAGAAAAGGAAAAGAAATTATTTGTATTGTTCATTTAGCTGAGGGAAATGTTATAATTCTAGAAATGTATGTACAATAGCTATAACCAAATAAAATAAGATTGACAAACAATCCCTGCCTCCTCAGAGAATAACATTTAATCAAGTCAAAGCAATAAATAACTAATTCAGTGGCAATGTTAAATGAAGTATCCACCAAACCTTACAAAAAAATTTGTCAGTCTTACCTGAAGAGGAAGAGAGAAGGGAAGTATGACAAAAATTGAGGAGACAGGCAGGAAGAGCTTATACAAGTATTAATATATTGCAAAGCAATTTATAAAGCTCCATCTGTTTTAACTTTTTTTAATCCAACAATAAAATTTTGAATTTTAGTCACGTGTTACATATTTTGCATACTGTGCATGTTGCAAAATTGCAAACAATTCATAAAAATGTCAGCCAAGAGAGCCCAATGTTCAAGAATCCTATGTTATCTATTGTTTTTAAATTCATTAAAGCTCTTGGCTGAATCTTGAAATTCTGAATTCACTGGTGTTTTGGGAAATGTAGTAATTTTTAAAGGGTGAATTCAAAATTGGACATGAATTCATGTTATGATTAAAAAACTGCATTTAAGAAATAAAACTGAACCAAAACTATGACTTGCAAAAAGGACACAAAGATGAAAGAAATGAAAGCTATGCAACAGTAACATTTTTTAAATCACTTTCAACTATGAAACATTCATGCCTCATTAACCTGTTTACCCTAACAAACTATTCATCTACTGAAACCGTCTATCATATCTTTCACATTCTTAATCACTTGTCTTGAATCATTACTCTTCATAGGTTAAAATCTATTTATAGTTTTTGAATGTGTATTTGTTCCCATGTAGTAAATCTGATCTTCAAAATCAACATATTTCAAAATTGTTAAGTAAATACCATTCATTATTTCAAAGGCCAGATTCCTTATTTTGGAAAAGTCTATTTGGAAATTTTATCCTGTTTCATGACTGCTAAACTTTGTATCTTTGCAGGCATGATAATAGAAAGGTCAAAAGGTAAAAACCAGTCAGTTTACCCAACCATTAATTTTATTTAAGCATAAAAATCTGCAATATTTCTTGTAATCAACAGGCAACACCATTTTGAAATTCAAAGTTCTCCATTAACTTGGAGCTGCAGATGTTGAGATGCACTTACTCCAAGTAAATAAATTTTAAAAGTATTATGATGCAGAGAAAAGAGAGGGGTGCCCAATCTCTGCGTGTCTCCAATTCATTTAGTATAATCAAACAAACAAAAAAAAAAATGCAACACCATGCAACTAAATGAGTTCAACAAAAAAATTCAGACACTTTTGTCCAAAAACACAACAAGAAGAGGAAGCAGCGTCCATGTTTTATGCAGTCAGCTGTTGATTAATACCCCTATACAGGAACTTGAAGTCAGGTGCTTTTTTTCCCTTTATCTAGACAGGGATTAGTTTCTTATCAATATATAGAAAAGGTCATGGCAATTTACTGTTTGTTGTTACGTTTTTTTAGTTATGAAAACTTGCACTCAAGATTAATTAACTAGTATACAATGGACTCAGAGATAATGATTCCTTATTTAGCTTCAGAAAATCATTACTTTTAAATAACTGATGAACATATGGCACCTTATCAACAACAGAAGTCAGAAATTTTATTGTATTAACTATGGCCACAACAGTTTCTCCCTTTCTCCTCAGAGACTTTAAGAAACTCCAAAACTTGAGTTTTAAAAACATAGAATTGTTTAGGTTGGAAAAGGCCTTTAAGATCATCCAGTCCAACCATTAACCTAACATTACCAAGTCCACCACTAAATCCTAAATGTTTCTTAAGGCTCATACTGCATTATTTGCTCTCACTCCTCCTTAAGCTACTTAAACATTTTTCTTTTTAGAGTACTTCAAAAGCCTCAAGATCAGCTGCAAGAATCTTGAAGTTAATCTAAAAGAAATGCCTTCCAGCCTACTGAAAACAAAGCAAAATAGTTCTTTTAGGGACTAATGCTCCAGCAGACAGATATTCTATTACCATGTCTTTTGGAGAGTTAAAATCAGTTGATCTTTGCATTGTAATAGCCTATGTATGTGATTAGGTACCGTGCAGGTCCTGATTATCTTTTTGATCAAGTCAAGGTATCATTGTGATATCTTGTGATATCACTGTGATCTTGTTTATCTTGCGATAAGCAAGATAAGATAACCGCTAGCAGAGCTGGTGTTGCATCTGTCTCAGAATCACACAGTGTGCGAACAGTGCTATGCAGCAGAGGACAATTTAGGAAAACGTCGTGATGGAAGCTCAGGGGAAACAGTTCATGCAAATGATTGTCAAGGGACTGAACACTGTAATGTCTCCCAATAGAGAAACGAAAAACTTGGGTACTGGTATCAGGTATCAGTAAGGAAAGGAACAAAAGGACAAGGCCATTGTTGACAGTAAAAATAGACATGGCTAGAGGAAAAAGACTGTCCAAAAGATGTGAGGAGAACAGATCTCACTTGCAGAAGTGGAATTGAAGAGGCAGTTCTTTGAAGCAATGCAAACCCTAGAGAATGCTCAAAATTTCACAATAAAAGTAAGTCACAGACTTGGTGTGGAACAGGGAGAGAAAACGAAATGCTTGTTTGCTTATAACTTGTTTAGATCTGATAGTATCAGAACACCTACATCTGCTTATAACAGTACTTTCTATCAATGGATCAAGAGCAATCATTGGGGTACACAACGGGTCACACTCCAAGATAAATACACTCTTCCCTTTGTTCCAACAACCAGCAGGTTCTTCTAGAACACCTGATCATTGGAGATGATTAAGCAAATCTTTTAGCAGTAGAGATCAACAGTGTAATTAAAAGTGAGATAAAACCATTATTATTACATACAATAATAATTGGAACTTAGCAAAGAGCCTTTTAACTTAACCAAAATACAAACTAATTCATCTGGAAATTAAAAATGCAGCTGGATGAGATGATGATCTTAAAGGTCTTTTCCAACCTAAACGATTTTATGATTCTATGATTCTACGTTTCGGAAAGCAGTGACTCAAAGGTTTAAGGTCATTGCATATGATAACATGACCCCTCAACACAAAACTGTAGCAAAGGGGAAAATACGATGTTATATCCTTTAGACACACACAAGGGATAACTTGAAATAAGGAAGTGTTCTTCTACTTCTCTGTAGTACTTGTACCACAAACTTGCAATACTTTCTCAAATAATCTGACATGCATCACATAGTCAGTTCTTTCCTGTTGCAAAGGTTGTAAAAGTACTCCTAGGTCGTATTTTCTTCAACAGCTGCATATAAAGATCATCTAGGGACTAACCTCAGTGTGACTAAAGTCTTCTGGCTCTTTATGAGAACACCTTGGTGATATACAGTGGCTTGAGATATGAGGTAGGCAACAGAATCTAATAGTTCCTTCTAGCAGTGTTTACTAGAACATGGCATTAGAAAGTTTATCAGAGTTACTAATAAGTATGCAGTCTAAGTAGTTAGGCTGCAGAGCCCTAGTTTCCAGAAGGCTGTGCAAACTAGATGATGTTTACCCTGAGAGCAAGTCACACAAAGTCAGACGCTGCGCAAATTCAATTTAGATTAAGCAAGCCCAGAACATGTGTGCAGTGTTGAGATCCCACACTGGAAGTTAATAAGACCAGCATGAATTGGACTAGGATTACAAGGTACAATAGTTCTTTTGTCTCTTCAAAGACACTGATACTTTGAAGAAAGGAGACAAATAAAAACAATAGCACAGAAAGAGTAAACCTTGTTATTGTCCTCCCTTAGTTTTCAGTGCGCACATGTACACATGGGAAATCATTTATTCCCAGCTGCACCTATGATTTGGTTCTATGTAAATGCCAAGAATCTGATCTATTGACTACTATAAAACAGTGTTCCTGCCATCCCAACATGTCTCAGTAATTTGCATAGGCGGATTATGGCCCCAAATTTTCTTTGAGCAAGTAGTTGATGGGACAGACTTACCTTTCCCATATCTATATTTGCCTAGAAAACATCACCTACAGACTTATGCTGGTTTTATTCATGTCTTAGAAACATCTGCCTTGTTGAAAGACTTTTCCATCACTCTGTGTTTTAGTAAAAAACCCCAAACATTTATTTCCTTTTCCAGGAATTGAGAAATGCATAGTGCCTTTAAATAAAAATTCTCAAATCAGGTTGGAAGTCCAGACAAGTTAACTCAAGTGCAGTTTGTGTTCATTTTAAATTAGGTTTTAACTTGAAATTATATTCCAGTAACTCCTCTGGCTTGCAAAGTAAGTAATTAACGACTGAATTCTTATCACTAGCTGTAGGCACCGACTTGGAAAATTCAAGTCTTAGGTAAAATGCACATAAGTCTGGTTTTTTACTTGAAGATGTATACCTTTTATACTGTGACGTGAAATACCAGCATCCCTTCACAGTGGCTGTACAAGAACATCTTGGTTCAAACAAGAAAACCATTCAGCATCTTTTTTTTTTTTTATTTTTTCTGTAATTCTAATTCAAACAAACAAGTAACATAATTATTATCTTACTTATCAAGTAATAACCTCAGAATTACTCCTGTGGGTTTTGGTATGGATTACCTACATAGCTTAGCAGGCAGGCACGTAAGTTATTTTTTCATTGTCACCTCTGTAATGAAAGTTACATTTTTTTGGTACATTTTAGCCTTTTATGGTACTTTATTAACTAAAGTATTATTTCCTGGGATATAAATATGATAAACACTAGATGACAACAAATATTTCAAGATACACTATTATTTGCAGGGTAGCTAATGCTCATGATAATGCTATGGTGTTGCAATATGGTAGAAAACCTCCATATAAAAGCCAAGAAAGTCTTTCAAGCTAGAACAATATTCTCAAACTCCTTTAAGATTTTAGTATAATCCTGTGGTCCTAAAGCTGATAGTGAGCTTCACAGAAACTAAAGAGAACAGAATCCTTTGTCTGACACTGAGGGAAGGCCTTATCACAGCCAATGCATTGCTGCAGTCTCTGGAGGTAGTGTATCACAAGCAATGGGAAGAAGGGGAAGTGCCATATAAGCTAACACTGACACAACAGAACATGATACAGCAGTCGAATGATAATGGAGAGGGCTAAATCATCTGTCTTGCCCTCTCTCATACAAGCTCCTGTCGCCGCACAAAGAAATCTACTACTACAACCAGAATATTGATTTAGGGCTTTTTAATAACAGATCAACTCCCAATGAAGCAATAACCTTCTTCCACAAAAGCCTCCTCAATTGATCTAGACAGAGATGGAAGACCTGATAAGACAGTAAGTCATTGTTTCCTTTCACCAACTCCCCTTTATCAAACAAAACTGCTAAAACCAAAGATCAAAACCTAGACTATGAAAGGGCAATAAATGCATCTGTAACCAGGGAACAAAAATTCAAAGTAATCTATTTCCTCTGTAATGGTGAATAGTTGACCTGCTTTATGCATATACATTTTCTCTATATGGACATCTTAAAATACATCAGCCAGAAAAAGCTTTATAAATTTACCTAAAATACAGTTGCATTATTCCATATAAAGAAACTCTCATTTGTCACATTAAAAAATTAAATATGTTACTGACAGACATTCATTATCAATATAAAGGAACCGAGATCTTCATCACTGAGTCCAAGATCTTTTTCCACATGGAAATAAAGCAATAAAAGCATACACAATGCACAACTGCAGGAAAACTCTGTAAACCAGGGAATGACATAAATGAAAACAGAGTAGAAATCTTATAAACTATATTCGCATGAGCTCTAAGTTAGACAGATAAGGGAACCTTACTTACAGACCTCTAAAAATTCTGATGAAGTACAGCAGACCTATAGTCCAAGAAATATGGTATTGCCACTGTTATAAACATGTCACAGGGTTTCTACTAAATCTGCAAGACCTCAAGACTTGGGCTTGTCAGGCTTCCTTTGTCTAGACTTGTCTGTGCTAGCCTAGAGCTTTGTTCTAGCTTAGCTCTAACAGTAATTGTCAAAAAATCAGATAAATGTTACTTAATCTGTTCCCATTTTAGCTTAGCTTTCTACGATTGTGTGGTATAAAACCTATCATTAAAATGCTGATGCGTTGCTCTAACTAACAGACAGTAATATCAAATAGCTAGTCTGTATGGAATAAACCATGAATGACCCTAGATTAAAAATGTAGCAAAGAGGATCATGACTGTGGGATGACAGTATTCAAGAAGTATCCAGCAAATGTAAAACACACCATATATAGGAAATTCAGATGTAATATGGAAATGGAAACCAATGAAGAATGAATATGGTGCAGACTGTGCTAGAAAACAGATGAAGAATAGCTGCAAGTGGACCCAGTGGGAGTAGAGAGCCCCCCAGCATCCATCATACTTCTCCAGGTGTAACACCTATGATGGTGGTAACTTGCTGTAATCCTTTCTTAGATGGAAGCCATTGACCTTAGTATGCAGAGGGGTAGTAAAAGGGTAAGCATAATGCCAGACAAAAACGATGGATACTAGGAAGTACTAGGAATATAACACCTTTAACTGTATTGATAAGAATGCTTTGATATGACAGGTAAGATTTCAATTAGAGTAATAGTAAATTCTTGGTTTTGCATACAAGGTGCATTTTGCCTACATAAACAACACAAATTGTAATACAACAAATTGGTGAAGAATGCGGTTTGGACGTAACAGCAATAGCAATTCTTGGACAATCCCAGCAATTAAAACCCTCTTTGCCACAGCAGAATTATCAGGTAAATGGCTACATTTGATTAATACATTAAAATTCATGTAAGAAAAAAGTTCACGTATAGTATAGGGGACTCACTTGACTTCTTAATATAGGTGCAGCCATTATATTATTTATCTATTCTAAACTGCCAGGTAAACCTGTACATGTCATCGCAACAATGCATTTTTGTTTCAGGATAGAGTGACATGCTTGACAAGCAAAATTGTTATAAACCAGACACAAATGTAGATAACATAATTCAAATATTCTCATATTGTACAATGTATGTGACAAGTTATAGGTTACACCCCTTGTATTATCATTATGCCTCCAATTATAATAAAACCAAGTAACTTTTAAACGTAGACAAATCATCATATAAAATGCGTGGGGAGAGTTGTGTTATAAATATACAACAGTTACACTTGACAAAGACTACGAAACCTGACAAACTTCTTACCTTTAGAATCAAAAGAATCAGGTAACTCTTTCCTCATATACATTCTAACTGTGTCCTTTGTTGCTAGCATATATGCACTTAAATCAATGCTAGTTTCCAAGTGCTTTATTTTGAAATAAAGAATAATTCTTTCATCAGACATGCTGTAACGTTTATTCCAGAGATTTCTGTACACTGAATTAATGTCTTCACCCTAACTATGGGTTGCAGACTTCTTATTCCATTGCTAGAGCAGTACTGTCACTTGATAGGTTATGGAAACATCCTGTATCTGATTTTGAGTTAGAATTAAGATTTTGATTTAGCATGGTCATAAAATAAATCAAACATATAATCATAAGAAGACAACCCAAAAGACAAACCAGTGATCACTCTAGTCAATCACATCATTTACAAACCTAATCCTATTTTCTAAAAGTGAAACAATTTCTGGAGTAGCAGTAACTGGACAAACTGGCCGTAACACACTTCCTTGAATCTGTCAGGAGCCACAAGGCTCATCTTTCACAGATTTCAGTGTGAAGAACAGAAAAAGATGAACTGCATTCTGAACACTTGCTTAAATATTTTTGCATAAGAGAGGTGGGCCTCTGTTTTCTGTCACAGCAGAACTTGACACAGTCTACATCAGCTTTGTTTAGGGATATGGTAAGCTTTTTTTCCACTTCAAAAATTTTAAAATGTCACTCCTGCATTGCTGTAGTGCGGAACAAGCTAATCCAGTTGCAAAACAAGAAGAGGAGAAACAAATGTAATTTTTTTTAAGCCATAGAACTTAGGTAACAATAAAAACAGCAAATAGAAAAACAATTCTTTAATCTCTGAAGGGAGCTAGCCGTCAGCAACCTAGAGCCCTGTTCTCCTTCACCTATTAAATAAATGGCATTATAACATGTAATACATATATTAAATAACTTTAATTTACATAAATGACATTTTTCCATTCCTGATCTGGAGTATAAAAGTATACAGGAAAATGTGTTTCAAAATATATAGTCTTCAAATATTCTGAGTAGAAACACAGACTGGTCCCATTCTCTGTGAATGAAACGGTAATCTTTAGAAAGGTTCCTAAAAGTACTGAACAACAAATTGGCTGTTCACAATGTTGTTGTTCACAACAGTGTGAATTCAGCTTTTCATCCAAAAAACTATTTTGACAGTAAAAGAGCTTTGATTGAATTTTTCTTTCCAACTTAAAATACACCAGTTGGTTAACTGAAAACATATATTTAACTTCACATTTTAATAAACATTCAAATTCCGATCATTCGCCAACTTACATAGCTCCATTAGTGTAGACTGTGTCACTTCCCTCCACATACTGAACCTGGGTTGGGTAGACATGCTGTACCTGTTGCACAGTCTGCACTTGCTGTACCTGAAAACAAGAACACCAGAAATTTGGGATATTGTAAAGAAGGACCGATGCTTCAGTGAACCTAATAGCTTCTAAACAATATGGAGTATCTTTGTTCTTATAATTGCTAAAGGTATGTCATAGCAATAGCAAAGAAAGTTACTGTTCTTACGCAATATTTGTGCTGTAAGTCTGGTATACGGAGCCCTAACATTGAAGATGCATGCTCATGGAGCATGCATACCCTGAGTGCCAAAACCAGAACTAACTGGAAAGAATAATAAGGATGAAATGACGTGTAACTACGTTTTGCACCAAGCTGAAGAATTACATTTACTACAGAAGAAAGTATCATTTGGCCACATGTATGCCTTTTCTTATTCCATTTCAGTCCTGAACAGCTCAAGCCTTAAAATCACAGCTCAAATGTATTGCAGTAAGTTTAGAAATAAAGGTTCACACTAAGATGGTTTAGCTCTTGTTTAACTGGAGTTAAACTACAGCGATACAAGCTTTTTTCCCAGTAATGCTTTGACCCAATGTACAATTATGGATCAAAACCCCCTACCTGAGTAACCCCTTTCCCAGAGTATCATCAGCTATAACAAACTCTGACACAACCCAGTTTTACATCAATGACCTAAACAATGAAAGGCAGTAAGGCATGGATTATCTTCACATATATTGCTGAGATGGCATGTCTGTTTTGTAAAAGCACACAGTCACAAATCAATTCCTTTGATTCATATACTATGTAGGGAAGCTCCAAGTTATGCAAATTTCCTCTCCAGTCTTAATTTTTTGTCTTCTGCCACAGTAAAGATTAAGAATTCCATATTTTACACCTGCCATCATTTAGAAAGCCATATTTTGGTGGAAGAGCAGTCCAGAATCTAAAAGATGCAAAAGGACTTAGAGACTTCACAGACTGGCACAATTTTACCCAAGGAACTGAATCAAGAAAGTTGCAATGCACATATTACTATTACATATTACAAACTACTTTTAAATGACTGTTATTTTTCTCAGATATTTTGTTATGAGGCAACTTCAGCCTGATCCAGTTGGTCCTAAGGATTGCAAACACCATAATCCCAGATGAATCCGGGTTTCATGCATTTGATGGATCATCTCCGAGAGCTCTTTGAGAATACCTTCAACTCTGCTGTATTTTAAAAAGTTCTGTAAATAAGTACATTTTTTCCTAGTCTTTTATAGTACTGACTCAGACTGTGAAAAGAAAATTTAGATTTTTCACAGAAATCTTCCCTTAGATTGACATTAAAACCTGAATTCTGAAAAAAAAACCCCACCCAAGTTTTTGAATGCAGCTATACTAGCATGATAGAAAATCAGATGTTTCTGTCCATTAGCAGCAATGAGACACAACATGATGGTTAAGATAGCTATTAAAATCCAAAGTTTTCTGATTTCCCACATGAATTATTACATAAATTGACAAATATACCTGAAATACAATTTGTCAGCTTCCAAAAATATACTTTAAATATGTTTTCTAATTATTAAGGTAAGGTACAGCTGCGTACATTTCCTCTCCTAATGACATTTACTTATTTAACAGAAAGATTCAGTTCTCAGAGTCAACACAAAAATCTCTGATCCCAATTATGCACGTTCCTAGACTTTAGAACAATTTTTTTAATTAAAAACCATAAACAGCTAAATTGTGCAAACATCTTTTCAAAGAATTAAACTACTTCTAATTCCATCACCTTTGACTTCATAACTTAAATTAATTCAAATCATAATTTCATGGAATGGGCTTGATCCAAATCCACTATAAGAAAGCTTGCTATTAATTAGTACCTCTCAATATTCAAATTTGCCAATCTGTGACAAAACCATCTACTCATGCAGTAATTGGCTAAAATGTGTATGTGCTTTACTGTGAAACATTTATGCAACACATTATGATAGTATTTAAGCTTGACTCTAAAAGTATTTCTTCCACTTTGGTGAATCAAGTTCTGTGACCTTTAATCAATGGGAGAAGGGAAGTCATTGTTGATCAGTCTATTACAGAGCATCAAACTTATCTACTTAACCTATATAGTGAGAAAACATCTTGAAAGCAGGTTTTATTCTTAAACCCAGTAATTTGTCACCTGCCATGTAATAGATACGCTCCATTTTCTGTCCCAGTAGTACAGCTGGGGAAACACTGTGGAAATGACGCTGCTGTCAGTATGAATTTCATGTTCTTGTCCAACCTGTCCCAAACTGCACTTCATTCCCTATTCACACACACCGGATGTGGCTTACTCCGTATTAAAAAAACCCACACTATTTTTCTGTTAATGAAGGAAATGTGATTTTCTCCCTGCAACCTGCATACTAATAAAATGGAATCCTACAGTATGTACAAACACAACATTAAAAACTTCCTTTCAGTAAATGCAGGGCATATTCCCATTCCATACAAGGTATTATATTCTCCCATTATTCTTGGATACAAGCTACTACCATTTCAAAAACAACAGATTCAGCATAGTGCAAAACCTTTACCATAAAACTGAGAGGATACTGCAGGGACAAAGTGGTATAGAGTGTATCAAAGCTGTGTGTCTACTGGACAGGAAACTGAAAAATTCCAAAATGTGTTTATTTTCTGATTTGGAACAACAACAACAACAAATTAATTTATGATAAACCAAAATATTTTTTAAAAGGTTAAAATTAAAATTTTCATTGATTAATTTCAAATGGTCACCCATTTTTATATAAATTCTTTATTAGCCTAATATACAGTACTACTAGAAATGTTATGACTGTTTATGCCAATAAAGTAATTTACTTTTTATATCAACATTTAAGAATGGGTACACTACAGCGCTATTAAAACATCTTACCTACTTTTGTAGGTCAAAATGTTCTTCCTTTAAATTTTATCAATGAAGTTCAATACAAAAGGGCTACTGAATTAGTTTAATTTTTTTCCAATACAGTAATAAAAGAAGACAGTTTTTTTTATATTTTGCTTCAGCTTCTCAGAAACTCAGTACTGCTACAGTTAAATTGATTATGGTGCCCAAGTAAGCTTTAGTCACTACATTGTATTGCAATGTACATAACAACCTTAAGGTAGAGAAAGTTAGAAGTAAATTATTTCTCCTATCAAGCAATGACAAATAAAATAAGTAAGTGGCCTTTAGGATGGCCCTGTATATGAAAATTCTGCCATGCTGAAAATCTTATATATACTTATAAGTATATAAATATATATACACACACTATATATACAAATCTTATTTGTTATACGATATCTCCAATCCTAATTTTATTTCCTATTTTAATTCATTTTGGGAAAAATGTTTTCACAAGAACTAAATTTAGTGCCTCTGGATTTTCTTTTTAATCTTCAACGACAGGAAGAAATGAAATGCATATATCTGCTCCTATGAACACAAAATTATTTGAGAAGAAGTTGGTTATGAGGAAACAAAACACCACGAAAAAAATCAACATGTTTTTGTGGAAATTGTAAAAAAAAATAATTTATTTCTTCTCTTCTGTTTTATTTAGCATTTTCCTTGCACCTTTTATTAAGCTGTTAAAAGAATTGTATCACCTATGTTCTTTAGTTTTTGGAGCAGAGCAGAAATTTGAGATCACAGAGAGAATATTCAACAGAGATCTAAACCTAAATGGCCTTCTTGAATTAAAAAATACTCCAAGAATTAAATGATTCATTATCATTATTGTCTGGCTGGAAAACAGAAAATTAACTAACTTGTACAGGAAATAATGAATTAAGTAGGGTCAGACAGAAAATCTTTCTGTCTGTGAAATCACTCTTACTTCAGTGATTCTAGCCTGAAATAAATAACTGGAATAGGATTAGAAGTAAGCAGCCAAAATGTTCCAGGAGAACAAGAGGTGAATGAAATCTTATTTCAATATACAAACGTAACTATAATTACTAGTTGAAGGAAAAAAAAAACCCAAAGAAAATGAATTATATTCTTTATTATACTACCTCAGAGGAACAAATGAGGGACTAAGTTATATTGTATCTATGAGAGTTTGTCAACAAAAATAAAGTGCATAAAAGCATACTGAAATGCAGAAATTACACAGAAGTATAAAAACAAAATTGAAGGGAGAATTTTGATTTCCAATAAAAAGGGTTTATGTTCAAATTACTACTAAGCAAAGAGTAGAACAATAGGGCAAAACATATAAGGATTTTTAAACTCCATTTAAAAAACATATAATTATCCACAGTGCCTATGCAAACAACTTGGATGTGCATCATTTTCTGTTCTCAGAGAGAAATATAATTTTTGTACCCTCATTAGTCTGGATTACTTTTGGCAAGCAACATATAAATAGCACATGCCGTAATATTCTAAGCACATTCATATTTATATAATGGCTAATGTCAGTTCATGATTATGTTTTTCATATGCTAAACTTGATTTTGCATTAAGAGCAATTTTGATTAGCAGAAGTCTGCATCTCCAGTTAATGATACAATGCTTTGTGAACACGATGGCCGTTGTGCATGGTGAATATGAAGAAATGCTTTGCTCAACTTATGATGCATGGATATACTTTCATGAAATAGATTATATGACTATTTTTAGTTTTATTTCTCAAATCCTTCCACATTGCATGGCATAAACTACAACATGAGTTTGATTTTGAATCCTTAGAAGCTTACTGCACTGTGCTAGAGTGCCTGTTGAAAAAGCAATGATACATTAATGAAAAGTCCCCATATCTGAGGAAACTTAAGAGTAAGAAAATTCCTCAATTCCTCAGGCTATTAAAATAGAATTTAATTACACTTACACATTTTTGGTGTTACTCTTGTTGCTGAACATGAGCCAGCAGTGTGCCCAGATGGCCAAGAAGG